GTATTTTTAAGCAAACAATGTAAAATCCAGAACAAATAAACAAACAAAAAAACAAAAAACAAAACAAAACAAAAAAAAAACCAAAAAACCCCACCAAACAAAAAACTCTTAAAAGTTTCTAAAGTACAAATTATTGTCTTCATTTAAAAAGACAGTTACTAATTGCATTACCACAGTTGTGAAATGTCTAAATTAGGAGACATTAAAGACATTCTTCAGTAACTGTCCAGCTCCTTCAACAGAGTTACCTACCCAACTATGGAAGCATCAAAAATGCGTGTTATTTCAAAAAAAAAATCTTAACTATAGTTCCTTGTCCCTACAGCCATACATTACAATGCATTAGTACATCTGAAATATTCTTGCTCACAGTTCAGCATTAGTGGATCCCTACTGCTGTGTTTTCTCATGAAAGTCACGTTAGCATGAGCTTCCTGATTAATGTGCCTCAGCACTTATAATTACTCCATGCTTCATATCAAAGGAACATTTAAAAGAAACCACAACTGGAAGAGAAAATTAAAACGCAGCTCAAATTTGTTCGGGTCACTGGAAGGATCTACTACTGTGAGTGTGAAATATTGATGGTTTGTCATTGTTAATTATTCAAGTTGGCATTTTAATTCCAAGCTGGGAAACTGGTTGGGGAAAGGAATTTGCTAGTGAGGAAAAAAAAAAAATGTATCCTGAAATTAACAGCTCTGCATTTCTAGATAATGCTTCTTTCGTGTGATTGCTTCTAACAGATCCCTGCCATAAAACATGTGCTGTCAAGTTTATTGTTTTACAGTATTAAAAGGGAGCTCAGAACTCAAACTGTTTAGGTATAGGGAGAGCTGTAGGGCAATTAAAAGAAATATTAATTATGATGCAGAACCAAAATGTATTGCCAAACTGCAAATAATCAATAAAGCCAGGAGAATCCGTTCAGCCACCCAGGAAACAACAGAAAAACACACAGTCAGACCAGCAATTCATCTCAGCACACCCCTTCGAAATAACATTCTTCACATACTTTCAAATATCCAGTTCAAAGCTGTTACTCTTCATCTAAAATCCATGCCAGCTGCTCTTCACAAGGACAGAGCTGTTTGCACAATCCTAACAATGTCTTGAGGAAGTGATCCTGGGATATGAACCTTTTGGATCAGATACTTAGCTGAAGCTAACTGGCCTGGACCCGCTGAATAAAACTACTCATTCAAACACCCTAAGAATTCAAACACAGAAAGCAGCACATTGCCAAGGAAAGCAAAAAGTTCATTTATTTGAACTCTATGCATCCGTCCTTTGTGTGCAAAAGCATTGGTCCCAAAGGAGTTTTGGAAGAGCAAAGTAGTCCAGGACCAGACTGTAGGTGCCTGGATAGGTCCCCTACGCCCAGCCATCCATGTGCTGTCTCTCTGATTCCTTGCTCTTCTCCAACACTCGTAGCAAACACAAACACCTGAAGGAACTGCCTCCCAAGCCCAAGGGAGTGGGTTCATCCAGCCTTCCTGTCATTCAGACATGGTGCCTCCTCTGCTTTTAACTTCAGTGCTCAGGTCATACTTGGCAATAAACCTTGCTCTGTGCCTCATCCGCAGCTTGTGGCACTTGATACTCAGCGGGTGGCCTCCCTGCTTAGCTGAGTACCAGGCTGTATTCTCTGCTGTAGGAACTCCCACTTACACCAGTAATATTTCAGCATGAGCTCGACCAGCTTGAAAAGAGAGGAAGCTGCCCCCTTTCCATAAAGCTTAGCCTAAGTGAGTAACCAACACCCAACTTTCCTGTGCTGAAAGAGTAACAGGATTACAGCACCCAACACATAATGATGCAGGGACAAAAATCTCATAGTAAAAACAGCTGGTACTTGAAAGGTAGATACTGCTGTGTCACATAGATGGAGAGATGGAAAGAAGCCTGATTGCAACCCAGAGCTGATAGAAAGAGAATTTAATGAAACCTTTGCCAAGGGATCAGTTGATAAATACTTACAGCTGTCTTCTTCTTCTGTAAAAACACTAACAACATAACAGGCGTAGACAAAGCCCACCAGCTGGAAAACACAAAGAAGAAATCAGTTTAGCATTGGTCTAGTGAGGTTGGTCAAAACCCTCCTGGCAGGGCCTCAACAGCCGATATTTGCTGGGAACTTGGCAGCACTAGTGTCAGTGTGGAGCCAGGCTGTGTGTGCTCCAAGGTGAGGAGAGCCAGGGTGGGATTGGGGAAGAGACTGCGGGGGGAAAACTCAAAACTCCAGAACTGCCAGAGCCATCGTTACCATCGGAGTAGCAGCCGGGAGAATGGCTTGGGTTTGGTTGACCTTGGAACCACGGGGCTGTTCAGCGAAGGGGTGAAGGAGGGTGCTGATATAACATTTAGATGGACCCCTGCAGACAAGGAAGACACACAGACAGATGGGGTAGGCTTTGTTAGCAGAGGGCCAGGGATAAGAACTCATCAGCCCGTAATCCTGTCACAAGGGTCAAGCAAGGAAAGAGACACTGCTGAGCTGTGGGATCTACCAACAACAACGGAACAGTTTTTATGCGGATGGGATAGAAACTTGTGTCTTATTGACAGCACATACTCAGAATCCTGCAAATTTTTAATATCTTGGCTTGGAGATCAAAAATCAATTGGAATGAAATCCTAGTCTTACTTTAGCTCTAGACTTTCTAAAGGTCTCTCTGTCCTTGGAATTCAATGAAAGCTGCACTGACAAATCAGCCTTTGGACTTGCAAAGGAAATGGGCCAGCAGGTGATGAGCAACAAACAGGATGATAGCGATGGTCTTAATTCACAGATTGCATAGGCAGAAACAGGAAACAAACTAACACAGCAGGGTATTTCTTAGATTTCTTAGATTTCTCAGAGCCTTCTGTTGTGGCCCACATGCCAGCAGTTGCCCAGAGCAGTATCTTCAGCAGAGAAGTACAGCAAACATTAAAAATAAAAGCAGTTTAAGGTATCCTGGTGGCTGTGCACTTAGCAGATAGTTGGTAGAAGCCCTAAGATGCCAGAGCCAGGCTTTGCTCTCCTTGTTCAGTGGTAAGTCATTACCCAGCCTCAGTAAAGACAGAAGCTTCTGGTACTGTGGGAATTGAGCATTCTAGATCCAGCAGGGCTTTATTTTGCTTTGATTTCTTCCTGTTAATCAAATATCCTCTCCATCCTTCATTCTGCATCTTTACATAGCGCCCCACTTAGCGAGATCTCGGTTGACACTAACTCTATTAGTAAAGTTATTGGGCGACGTAATTGTTTTCCACCGTGAACTCAATTCTCTGGAACAAGAGCTAAAATGTAACGTCCAGTGACTCACTCCCCGGGAAGACAGCATGATGCATGGCGGGATTTGAAAAGCAGAGTCCATTCATTTTTAATATGACAGAAAAATACATCACACCAGAAAACAAAAGGCAAGATAATGAGATTTCTACTAGGGAGTTATAAGGCATTCTTGATTTCTGTGGCTCTCCTAGACAAAAAAACACCTTGTTGGAAGGAAATGGAATATATATATTTTTTAACATCACTAAGGCTTTTATTTCCTTCACACTTTCCTCTAATTGCATGAGGGCCAGGCCGGGCTCTTTTGCTCCTGGGTGGGCCCTTGGGAAGCCTGTCCCAGATCCGCAGGGCAGGAGAGGAGGCTCCGTGCGCTCACGTTCTCCTGCTCTGTGTTTTCCAGACACGGGTGCTAAGTCTCCATCGGCCGTAGGGCGCTTAGCTCAAAAAGAAACCCTGCCAAGTGCAACGGTGACCGCAGAGCAACGGCAACGGCCTGGTTTTGTGGGGCTGGTTTTGTGGGGCCTGGTTTTGTGGGGCCTGGTTTCCTCCTTCCCTCGGCTTTGCCCTCACGGCTCCGAGGGCCAAGGCTGCCATTCCCACGAGCTGGGAATGCCCGATGGTATCTGCCTCTTTATGGGAGCACAGCCACATTATCATGGGCACCCTGTTAAACCCCGGAGAACTGAGCTCAGAGCGAGCAGCGAGACTCATCCGCAAAGTTTATTTTGCAGAGAAATTAATGCCCTGTAACCCCCCGGCCACCACTCTTCTCTCCCCACGTTCGTTGTCCTTTTACAGCCAAGGTGACCTTTTACGCTCACAAACAAACAGACAAACAAAACAAGCTAGAAGTGAACTCTGCAAAATCCCTAATCCCAGCGCCAGGGAGGTTTGTTTGTTTATTGTATCCCTGGACTTCGCATTGACCTTATAACCCATTTCTTCTTGGCGTGAGTTTCATCAATAATAAATTACTGCTTATTCAATAGCCTGTTTTCTTTTTATTCAAATAAGTTCTGTGAGTCTCACAACCTAGTGAGAACAGGAAAATTTCAGTGGCAAAGACAGGAGAGACATGCAATACGAACGTGAGCTGCATTTTCACACTGGCTGAACTAAACTCTAATTAAACCCATCACCTCAGGGATGAAATGAACTCCTGGGATCCGCTCTGCGTCTTCCCTCCGTCATGAATTATGAATGAAATACAGTTACAGAGGAGCAACGCTGCTCCTTTTGTCCCATCCTTTTCATGGAAAAGTCTCCTGTAATGGGGGCTGAGCGGACTCCGAGACACCAACGGTCCCTTCTGCTGCGTCGTTGGTGAGGATGAACCAAGCCCAAGAACGTCACCGGTGATTAACTGAGAGCAAATGCTTGACAGGCATCAAAAATGTGCCAGTAATTACACTTTTGCTCTGAACGCCGTGTTCATTCCCGAGTTCAATGAAAAGAGGGTTTTGAGCCCTATTATCCCACTGAAATATCAGTAATTCTTAGATTTTTCCAACTATGTAGAGGAGGTGGGAGAAGAGAAAAAAGTGTGCGATGCAAAATGACACTTTTTTCCCCCCTAATTTCCCAGAGGATTTTCTTGTACTTTGCCTCTGCTGCTGTTTCCTCACTTGTTCTGCATGTTGGGTACCAGCTTCCTCCAGGCTGCGCAATATCTGATTAAGGTTTTTATTAGGAACACATGTTGTAGGCAGGTGGGTTCAGCGAGCCTGGGAAAAGTTCTCGCTGCCGAGCAAGAGAGGATGGAGCTGGGCTGCCCCGAGGGCTCTGCAGGAAAATGTGTGGTGCAGGGGGGACAAATCTGCCCAAAGCTGCTAGGAAAGCGGGGGTGAGAGGCTCTTTCTGCCCCTTGGTGGCTGGAAGGTAACTTGAGCTGAGAAGATCTCCTCCCAGAGCAGCACTGACCTGCAGTGCTTGAGCTGGAAGGATGAATTACAGGGATACCTGAAGACAGGACCAGCTGGCTGCGAGCGCGGATGAAGTTTATGAAGGATGGCAAGGCAGACTGTAAGAGATACCACCAGTTGCTTGTGCAGAATCTTAACCTTAGTCCTTCAGCAACTATCCTGGTGAATATCCTGGGCTCTTCGACTCTTCCCTCAAGAGAAGAGAGAAATTTGTCGTTTTTCTTTTCATTGCAGAGAAACCGTGCAGAGTCCCCTTCTTTAGGGCAGATGTATTCTAGGTTTCCCTTCTAATCAAAGATAATGAATTTTTATGTGCTCATCAGTGTGAGATTTCTGCCCAGTTTCTGAGCTGTGAGAAGGCACTAACCAGCTTAAGAAAAAGCTACTGTGATCAAGTAGCCAAAGAGAGGTAATCAAAACCCTTGGATTCCTTGACCTTCTTTGCTCTTTGGATGCAATTAGGACCACTGAAAATCTAGCTTCTGCCAGCAGCAAAGCATCTCTTGTGCCCTGCTTCTCACATAACATCTGCTGTCAAAGCTCCGCTGCCTTTCTGGGAAGCTTCCAACCTGTCAGTTTTCAGTGAAAACAGCAGACAGGCGGCAATGGGTTCTCTCAGCTGGGAAGACATTTCCAATTTCCATCCCATTCACTGGAGCCTCAGGAAAAGCCTCTCCTCCACTCCCAGCACTACCATATGGGCAGACCAGAACTATGCCAGGTATTTCAACCCCAAAAAACTCTTCTTGCTGCTGGCTGGCAAGCTCAGGACACATAGGATGGAGCCTTGCTGAGATAAAAACAAAGCTGATATTTTCTTTTCTTGACAAACTGGTTTCTGCTGAATTTCCTGATTGGGTCGGTAGGATTAGTTTTACAGTGACATTTCCATAGGCTTTGTTTGGAGATCTCATTCTAGAAAGCCTTTTCCTCCAATGTCTTCTGTGCTAAAACACCAAGCAGAATCGACACCTGCACAGAACCTGCCATCAGTTCTGTCTCATTTGCAACCTCTTCACCTTCCAGAGACGTGGGTTTGCATCTCACAAAGAAAATGTTTGTGGTATCAGATGAATTTTAATCTAGATCCTGCAGGTACTTGTGTCATGGATGGTGCCTGGTGTGTCCGTTTGATCCCCCTCCAGGTTAAAGCAGTTGCTCCTCCCTTCAAGGAGCGCCCAAAAGCTCTGGGTAAAAACAAACTGAGACCTTATGCATCTTCTTCAGCTGTATACGCAGGACCGGCACGATACAGCCAGCAGGATTCAGGGTGACAGCCAACACTGCGCTCCCCATATGGAGCAAGATTTTCCTTCCCCCTCCTTTGGCATGGAAGATCAAATCCAGTGAGATGAACTCAGCTTCTTCCCATCCTCAGGGGACTGATATCTTCTCATGCGGGGACTCCTTGCTAAAGAACAAGGACTTCACATGACCGTGTCTGGAATAGTCCCCCGAGCCCCGCTAAATTCCAAAGCATTAACCAAAGCCAAAACTGCAGCAAAGGACGTTTTGCTTCTCCACCTCCTCCTAAACAGGCTGTGCTGCTCCCAAGGCCCAGCAGACAAGGAGGGAACTCGGTCACGTCCCCTGCTGCATCCCCAGTCTTGGGTTGCTGGTCCTGTTTTTAGAACTATCGATCTGCTCTCCCTGCCTGTCTGCAGCACAGACACCTGCAGGCGCCCTGGGAAGGGCGGCAGCTTGGAATGAAACCTGCCTAAAATGACAGAGAGAGGACAGGGGAAAAAAGAAAGAAAAATAAATAACACTGGGAGGGATCAAAGGGTTTGACCCTCAGAGACTCAGAACGGTGAGGACTGGCAGGCTGGCTGTTTTCATGCAAGGTTTTAGTGAGAATATATCTTCCTGTCTTACTTCAACAAAGCAGAGAGGAAAAACTCCGTTTGTCCCTTTACCTGAAATAATTACATACACGTTTCAGAGCTGGCAGGAGCTACAGGCCTGGGGCTTTGAAATTCCACCTTTATTACAGGACAGGTGGGAAGTTATTTCAGTCTGCACAGCTCAGCCCACAGGGACTCCTCATATCCAGGTATTCCAGCCTTGTTGCCAGGGTTTAGAATGCAAAAATCTACTGCAACTTAAATCTCAGGAAGGAGAGAGAAAATATTTACCTAAATCCTATTTGTCTGACAGTCCCCACGTCTTTCTCTCCATCTGGCACCTTATGGTGTTCTGCACATGCAGAAATATATTATTTGCCTCGAGGAAGCCAAGGAAGAAACAGCCCCAGAGACGTGGACGAGTCACCAGGCCTCCTATATATCAGCAGGAGCGCTCAGCTGAGAACTGTGTGCTCTAAATCAGTAAGACACTATAAAACAACGTGTACATTTAGAAAAACCAATGCCCTGTGTTGGCCGAGCCGCTGGCTGGGGCCTGGGGCATCGGGACAGACGCTGCCAGCGACACCTCTGCGCTTGTAAAGCCTGGGGGGGTTGAGTTCACTGGACTGGGGGGACGGCACCAGCTCAGCAGCCTCTATCCTCTTGCTGTGGACTGTTCTTTAGAAAAGAAACCAGGCTCTGCTCTTTTGGATACTTAACATTTCATTTCTCCGACACGTGCAGTGAAGCATCTTGCAGACCTTTGAACTCAGATGATTTTCCCTAAAGGAGAACCCACCAAATATTAATGGACCACACACAGGCCAGGGAGTCTGCCCAGCTCGGAAAACAGGAGCTTCTCTATCTGCCTGGTTTTGTGACACTGCAAGAAAGGAGCGGGGTCCTCTCCTCCTGCAGTCCCCTGGGTCACACAGATCAGCTAAGGGCAAATGCAGGATCAAGACAGCAGAAAGTTGTACCAGGAACACACCAAGAAGTCTTTGGGATTCCAGCAGCTTGGAATTTCTCTGCATTCGTTATCCGCTAACATGTAGATCAAAGCAAGTTACCCTTTTTACAGCCAGACCTGGAGTGCTGCAACGTGAATGTTTCAGCAGCTCTCGTCAGTGTAGGTTTAAATCCATCAAGCACAAAGTAACAGAGCAAAGCGGCCGAGGAAGATGCGGGCTGCTAGCTGCAACGTAGCCACAAAACCAGGAGCCAAGCCAGGGAAACAATGGCCATTTTGTTTCAGTTAATTTCACAGACAAATGGGAAACAATTAATTAACGGCGAACATTAAGGACATGGAATTACTGCAGAGTGTTTAAGATTCCAATAAGGAAACAGTTGATGGAAACAATTAGTGCATATCTTAGGCGTCAGCAGAAATAAAACGTGCTCCTTTCTGCTTCCTTAGGGTTTATTTCATTTTCTGGAGATAAGGATGTGCTGCCCTTTATTTCTACACAGGCACAAAAAGACATGGGCTCCCCCACCTACCACCAGCTCCAGAGGAACAGAAGAAATCCTACAGAAGAAGGGTCCTGTCCCATGAAAACACGACCATTCTGGCCCTGACGTGGATAGACAACGAGCCGTTACTGTAAGGTTACATAGGATATGCCGAGCATTAGGTAGCTGGTAGTAATTCCCAGTTCTTGGTAGCAATATTACCAGTAAGGGAACAAAACCCACTAGCTGGAAAAACAGCGAGCGCCGGCGGTGCCGCGACTCACCGCGATGAGGATCTGGAAGGAGCTGTGCACGACCTCGATGTAGCGGTGCTCCAGCGCGCAGCCCATCACCGACACGTACGAGTGGCTGTCCAGGCCCTTGATGCCCGGCGTGGGAGCCTCCTTCCTCACGCAGCCAGGGCCATTCTCGCTCCACCACGACTGGTGCCGGGAGATGTTGAATGTCAGAAGTTCGCTGTCCTAGAGAGGGAAAAGTCCAAGAGCGTCTGACGTGCTGTTTGCATAGAGCTCTTATTAAAAGCAGTAGAAAAACCTGAATTGCAGGCACTTCCCCACCAATTATGCAACCAGCTGCACATCTGAAAACGGGATTTCCCTCACACCTGAGAAAAGCAGGATACCCCCTGGAAAGCCTGTGAGCGCTTTGAGATTCTGAGCTTTCAGATATTGCAAAGCCCTCGCTGCAGATGGTAAAAGACAAACTTCGCAGAGGCAGAATAGGGCAGGAGAGAGCTCAGCAGCATCACTTCACCAGCGAGCGCTGAGTGTCCCAACCAGCCCCCCAATCACCCTGATGTAGAAGCAACAACCCCTTTTTGCCTACAGGTCCCCAGGGACGTGGGAGATGGAAGTTTCCTTTTGTGGGGTAGATTGTCCCGCTTTGCACATCGCATGAGCAGCCCCCATCCCCAGCAAAGCCTCAGGAGCAGTTTGTGGATCTGCTATGGAAGCACGTGTTAGGAAATGTGGACAATTAAGCAGGAAGCCAGCTGCCAAGCTCCTCACATAATCACCGCAACAGATGGGATGGATGAGTTTTATGGTAGATGCAGAAGGGCACGGAGATGAAGTGTGGCATCAGTGAAAAAGCAGCCGCTACAGCCAGGGAAAGAAAACAGGGGAAAAAAGGCTCTATTATAAATGGTTGGGAGTTTGAAGGGAGCTGTCTGCATTTTGAAGGCTCTGGGGAATCATTATATTGGCAGCTATAGGACAACGTATACAGTGCAAGGCCCTGGGCAGCCAGGGAAGAACTTCCAGAGACCCTTTGGTTCTGCAGCCTCTCGTCGTTTTGGCAGCAAAGCCCTCGACCTGCTCCCTCGCTGGACATGGCTCCTCATGCCCATGCATCTCCCTCCTGCCCATCACATTGCACCTGCTCCAGGACACTTGCTTTTCCTCCCACATTTGCCTCTGTTGGGTTTCTCCCAGCAAAAGCTCTTCCTCCTGGAAACATCCAGCCCTCCAAACCGCTTTGCTGCTCTGCAGAAGTCACTGGATGTTTCAGCTGGGCAAGGAAAGAGGCGCCCTCCTTCAAAAAGGTTCTTGGTTCCTCTGCCTGGGACTTCCCCAATTATCATGGAAACAAAGCAATTCCAGGGAGGTTCCATCCGCAGGGCATCCTTCTCCGGGCAGATGGAGCTTTCCCAAACCTTCTGCTCCAGAGGCAGCCAGCCCTTTCAGTGCCATTCCCAGGTACCCCCATATGGGCATCTCCATGTGCAGCTGGCAAAACAGGGAACAGGAATCTCTCCCTCACGCCAGTCCTTGCAGGATTGTCTTAGCTTTGGGGCAGGAGCTGAACTTTGCCATGGATGAAGCCAAAACCAGGCAGAACGGGTGCTGGCACCGGGCTGGGTGAAGAATTGTAGGTCCTAAACAGCCCTCACGCTTTTTGCCCAAAAAGGGTGCTCCAGCTCTGTGCAAAAACAACATTACACTCGGGTTAAGAGCAGCGTGGAGCAGCTGAGCACATTATATTATAAACGCCCTGTGATGCTGGCACTCGTGTCCTGTCCATCTCCCGGCTCACTGATGGAGCGGGAACACCCATGGCACGCGGGACACAGACACCCCTGGGTTCCCAGCACGGAGATTGAACTATAAACGCCCTGTGGTGCTGGCACTTGTGCCCTGTCCATCTCACTGATGGAGCGGGAATACCCATGGCACGCGGGACACGGACACCCCTGGGTTCCCAGCACGGAGATGCCTTTCCAAAAGGCACCACGCTGCAGGGCAGGGGGGCACCACAAAACACGGGTCTCACTGCGCCATGAGATGCCCTTTCCTGCCTGCATCCCTGCCAGGTATCCTTGGAGGATAGCAGCACCTAGGGATGCAATGAAGGATCATTTAAGGGAAGCATTTGGTTGACCTCCAGTTGCTCAGTGCTTGCTTGGAGACCGGGCAAGTGATCCCCGGGTGCCTCCTGCAGCGTCATTTATGAGAGGGCTGGAAAGGAAAAAGTACGGAGCAGGAACAGGGCCCTAAAAGCAGGAAAAACAGCCCTCTTCTCCCCCCAAAAAGACTTAGGGCAAGAAATGTTAGGAAACAGCTATTTATCAAAACATCTTCATAAATCATTTGAAGCTTGAACATACTGAAATCCTTCCCAAAGTCAGGGCAGCCTGGAAGGGGCTGTGTTTGGAAAGCTCCCCTTTCCAAAACCCTCCTTGGAAAGGCTGGCAGCAGCAGCCGGGTTTCTCACGAGCAGCTTTGGGAACCTCCTCCCCCAGCATTTCCTTAGTTATCGGGCAAGCCGGCGCTGCAACAGCTCTGGAAACAAATCGAGCCCTGCGTGGGAGCCCCGGAGCCTGAAGGCGGAATCGTTTTACCTCTTTCAAAGTTGAAAGCGTTTATTATCAAAAGGGGAAGCAGAATCTTTATCTTTTAGTCCCGTGTGCCGAGTAGCTGCATCGCCCCAAGACGAGAGGGGAGAAGCTCTGCGGGGCTGTCGAGGAGGCCGCAGCTTTTCGAGGCCAAATCCCAGACTTCCATTTGCCAAACGTAGGTGGAGTTGAGGGATAGCTGTAATTAACTCTGCTTTCATCCAGCCTCCACACACATTTATTCAGGTACAAAGTCATCCCAAATATGCCATCCAGATTCTCCTCTGGAATACAAATAAACCCCTGTATGACTAATAGGAGCTGCCTCCGTTTCAAGAAGAGATTTAGACCACCACAGCTCAGGATTCACATCAAAGCACTGAGTAGGCAGCAGACAATATAAAGGGGAGGGGAAAAGAAAAGAGAAGAAGAATAAAAAAAACAATTCCAAGAATAATTCTGGAGGGAAAAGATGAAGAAGAATAGGTCAAAATAAGCAATAGCAAATCCTGAAACCTCTCGGACGCTTCTCACATACGCCATGAGCGGTCCATCAGCAGGGCAGCTGGACAGACAGATGCTCCTGCGTCTTACCAGGAGGATTTTAATAATTAACTGGGCCTAACTCAGACTTGCGCTTCCTGCTGGGCTGCAGGACGGGGTGTTTCACGCTGGCTGGACAGGCAGGGGCTCAACATGTTGCTCCATGCACAGCCCAGGCCCCAAGGAGACCCCTCTCAGCAGCTCACCTTGCTGAGGGGCCAGATGCACCGAAAAAGGATAAAAAAGGGAACAGAGGAGGGAGGGCAGGATGGAAAGCAGGTTAATCACGAGCCCCCCCCAGCTCTGGGCTTTCGGAGAGGCCGGATTTCACCTTGATGCTGGAAGCATCAACTCAAATTGCTGCTCTGCTGTCTAGTGAGCAAGAGACGGAGCAATCTGCAATAAGGGCACGTCAAAACTGCCTCTTTTCCACTGCTGCCTCCCCCAGATTCCCCAGGCGTTTCCTAAGCTTGATACAGCAGAGGCACTCGGGCTCCTTCGCACCCGAGTTACTGCCCGTCCCGGCTGCGCGGGGCTGTCACTGCCGAGGGAACAAACCCTCCTTCCCAGCTCGCCACCCGCTCTCTGCTTTGTCACTATAAATTAGGCGGCTGCTGACGGTGACTGCCCTTGTCGGGAGCACGGGAGCAGCGCCACTTCCTCTGGGAATCACAGGGAAAAATCCCATGGCCAAACACCTTCCGTGGACCCCAAAACCTGAAGGGGATCGCATGGGAATTCCATGGAGCTGGAATGCTCCCGAGCGCATCTGTGCTAGTGAGTAAAGAGCTGGTGTTTTCCTGCCCTGCTCCTCCAGAGCTCTCTACTATTTGCAGCCTCCCTTCACTACCAGGGTCATTGCAAGCTGTGACTTCTTACGAATGACTAAGGGAGAGCTTCCTCCCAGGGATTTCATGGACACGGGCATCCCTGCAGCTGGAATGTCCCTAGGAGCCAGTCTGAGACGCGCTCATCCAAGCGCAGGTGCCACCCGGGTCACCTCCCTGGCCACTGGGATCAGCAGGATGCTCTGCAGGTGTCAGCTGGCTTTGGGTCAGGTTTCTAGATGTGCAGGAAGAGCCTCGTGCTGCTCCGGAGGCCAGTCCGCCTGCAAAGCCCCCCGGACGCTCCTGGAAACCTTCACTCCGCTTCCAAGAATGTCTTTTGTTCCCTGGTGGAAGAGAGGTTTTGTTTTCCAAGGAGACGGGCACTCCTGAACAACAAGGTCACATGGACAAAATAATTTCTGCTGAAGAGGAAAGGGAGAAAAGGAGGCAGCATATTAAAAAAAAAAAAAAGACACCCTTTTCTTAAATGAAAGGAAGCCACAAAGAATAGTGACAAGGCTGCAGAATGATTTTGCTCTGTCACAAGCCCAGCATGATTATTCTGTTATTTTTTTTCCAGTTGCCGCCACACTAGCAGCATGAATTTTTCATTGCCTCTCTGGAGGGAAGTCCCCCGAGACAACAACAACATTCGCTGAGGCTCAACCCCATCAAGAACGTGCCCAGCCACAAGAGCCGTCCTGCAGCCTAAGTGACAGCGCACTGGGCGCTGGCTTTGCCAGGACCATGAGCA